TTACATTTAGTAAAGCACAAATCCATGACTATTTAGGAACTAATAAACTGTTTTGTACCGGGACTGTAAATCGAAGCTCGTATGATTGATTACTTTTGTATTTAATTAATTTTTTTACCACTCCTTTATTCATTTATAATTTTAAGAAATAATATCAATAATAGTACAATACTAATATTTACTATATTTTCTGTGAATTAGTTATTTAAATTTTATAAAGCTGATCAAGCTCCTCAGAAGGAATTGCACATTAAAATTTTTCCAAAGAGATAGGGAATCTCAGATATCTGATATTTGTAATAGTTTATTTAGAAAAACCTATGCATAAGAAAATACGAATTTTTAACATATAAAAATTTTTTAAAGAAAGCCTCTAGGAGAGATCGTTTTCTAAGCCCTGACTACCCATTTGTGTATCATGAAAAATCATTTTCAAAGTACCTATGAATCTGTTCACACTTCTTGCTTCTCTTATTAAGATTTCCTTTAAAGCCCGGAAACATTAATAACAGCAATACCTTAATGCACACATTGCATTTTCTAAATTTAAGAAAATGATTATAAGCAATTTCAATCGTAATATTTTTAATTATTTTACTAGCAGTATACGAATGCAGATCCATTAATGAACATTTCAGTATTTCCCAAGCAATTTAATTTCTTTCCAGACAGTAATATTAAACACACTTCAATAAAATATTTATTCTGATAATTAATGAATATGTTACCATTAATGAATATAGAAGTATAGGAATTCCTATACTTAAAAAGGCACCTACTAAAAACGTATGTTTTGCTCACATTGATAGATTCATGACTTTTTTAAATTAAACATGCTTGTTTTTAACCAGATAATAAATAAAAATGAGATAAGCAATAGCTTCCTTTTAACTGCTGTTATTTAGAAAGTAAATAAATAAAAGTGCTTTCACATTCTGACAAGATTTTATACAAACAGACTTTTCAACTTAATGTATTGATACTGTTTCGAACTTACTGATATCTTTCCAATAACACATAATCAGCTGTTTCATTTGTAGAACTCTGTCAATACATTTAAAGATCTTTAACGCAAGTAATCTTTTCTGCAGAAATTTAATAATTTACCTTTTAGATGAAATTCAACAATATCACATTCACTTTCTACCATGGTATCTGTACCCAACTCCAAATGTATCTTGGTAGTACTGAGGAAAACATCCCCAGTTAAATTAAAACCACAATTAATCTGACAGAAGTTTAAAAGAAATGCAATGGTCAAAACTTGCATTAAAATTAATAGAAAAAGTATATCAACAATTTATATACACTTTAATCTGGAGAATAGTATGTAAATTAAATCCGTACACAAGACAAAAAGAGTGTACTGTACATAACAAAAGAACCAATATCGCTGAAATGAAAAAATTAAGTTACAAATGGCATTAAGATCTGAGCGACAGGTACAGGGATAAGTGGGCGACAGATCAAAATTTCACCACACTAGTCATACAGATAGTATAATAGTATCAGGGAGCTCTACCCTAATTTTGATGGACAGCACCTTGGAGAACGGTCCGAGGATCTTCCACTTTTCCTCCCCCATCACCAAGCCATTCAAGAGGACTTTAGGCTCACCAGTATTTTGAATTCTCCCATACTGCATAGACATAAAGCTATAAACTTAAAATCATAAACCAAAATATCAAGACAGCCCGAGTGGTAGAGCTTTTTTGAATCTGCTAATGAAGAGCAGTATTTAAACAGTTAACCAAATTTTAAACATACGAGTGATAAAAAATTCATAATATAGGTCCAGAAAATAATAAGAACTACAGTGATGATGAAATAAAAACAGACAATGTTAAAATTAACCATACTAAAGTCTTAGTTTATTTTGATCATTCCAAAGCATTCTACGGTAACCTACCTAAAGGGATTAATGCCTTTGTGGAGGATTTTAAAAAGAAATATACCTATTGCATACAGAAAGAATCATCAAAATTCTTATATAAACACTAATTGACTTGAATGTAAAACTGGTTCAGCTATCATTATTCTGTGGTTTTATTACTCAGTCACTAGTAGGCACTGAAGCTTTGACCAAAGTAATTTATATTCAGAGCAAACTGCCGATGCTTTTCCTAAGGACTTCCTTTTTTGATCAAAAACTGGCATGACTGTGCAGTAGCTTATAGAATTACATATCTATCACAAAAATGCAGAAGATACCTTTTTAAAAAAGTTAATGCTTGGTAAATATGTATATTAGAAATTGGGCAAAATTTCAAATTTTGTAACTATGTAAAATTTGTTGGACCTTGTTTATTCCCTTTTCCCCGCTATGAATATTTTTGTAATAAAACAAAATATTGCATAGTTTATTTATTAACTTAATAAAACACAATTCACCAAGTCATAAAGTTTGTTAAAATGTTAGTAGTAATTATCATGCACTTATTTTAAAAATTTGAAATAAAACATTTCAGAAAATCTTGTCAAAACAAAAACTGGCACAATTTAAAGCGAGTTTTCAGTTATCTGAGGTGGTCATAATCCTAATTACCTCAGATAATCAAGGTTCTACTGCTTTTATAAGAAAATTTTAGTTTGACAATATAATAGCTTCATTATTAATTTAGATATTCTCCTTTCTGCTCTGAAATTAGAAGCAGTAAAAGCATGTTTATAAATATATTACATGAAGTGTTTTGCCACTCAGACAGTATAGTGGTTAGGGAAGCCTACTGTGGTACCAAAAGGCCCAGGTTTGACTCTTACAGAAGGTATGGATGTTCGTAAATGTATAATATCTTTGCAGCATGGAGGCATTTTAAATATATGGCAAGCCGAATGTGCTCTCTTGTAGTGTGGTGTTGGGGAAAGAGGGTCCTCCACCCTCCTGGATGCTCTCCCTCAAAAACACTTTTTTTTTTAACCCTCTGAGCGGCATGACTGGATTTATCTGGTTATTAGATTTTTTGTCATTTGATACATATTAGTTTATAACTTAAGCTTTCTTACTTTCTTTAATAATGTAAATGTAATCTTAATAAATATAAATTTATGAAAATACAGGATAAAATAAGTACTTATATAAATTTAGCTAATAAATGCTGCATAAATACAGGGCTTCATGACAGATCCAAAAACCTGTGCCGCTCAGAGGGTTAATTCATAAAATGAAGAGCTCGACTTTTACTAAATTAAAGAGAATAGTGTTTAATTATCCAAATGAGCATACCAGCATTAAAAAGTTTCAGGATTACATTACAGTTATATCAAACTTATAAAACTAACAATTATACAAAGCTATGAACTTTAAAAAAAAAAAAAAAAAAAAAAAAAAAAAGCAATCAAGAAGTAGTTTAATACCTGCCCTGAGAAAGAGATCTCCTGACTTCCCCCCCCTCATGAAAAAGTCTTATGTAAATTTTTCATAGTATTCAAAATTTTTTTTCCCTAATAGAAGAGAATTAAGTCTTTAAGGATAAGCCTCTCTTCTAAACTTCTTTTTCTCTCACAAAAAATGTAAGCAAATGTAAGCCCTTGTAAAAATCGGCAAACAAATAAGTGAGCGATTCTGCACTTTACCAAGAATATTTTCAAAGAAAAGGCATCATTAATTATAGAAAATTATGTTTGAACAACCAACGAGATGAAATTATGCTTTAGCGATAAGTCGGTAGCGAAATAGTGATGCAGGCATCCATTCAGTTTTGTTTAGAATTTTTTATGTAAATTATAATAATGATCTGAAATAGTTATTTACTCTTATGCTTCCATTCAGTCTGTTTAGCCTTTTCATATAAATTATAATAATAAAAAGGTATTATATGAAATTAACCTTTCATCTAAATTAAAACATCAATCTTAGATAGTTATTTACTATTATACTTCCTTTCTTGCCGCAATTATATTGGGCAGCATAGGCATCAATAATAGTTTGACGATTTTTTACGGCCCTCGAAACCGAATAGTACCCAAAATTTTTTTATTTCCCTAATAGAAGAGAATTAGTCTTTAAGGATAAGCCTCTCTTCTAAACTTCTTTTTCTCTCACAAAAAATGTAAGCAAACAAACAGAAAAACACCTCATCTGTCTAAATAAAATTTACTTTTCAGTCTACTTCATTTAAGACATGCATCAAACTAGAAAACTACCAAAAATTAAATTAACTATTAAAAATTAGTAAGCCTCACTTTTATAAAATATTACAACCATACGTACTTTTACTAAAGCTCTTAAATAACGGAATACGATAAAAAATACATTTATGACTAAACAAACCTTAAAAATACGAGTATACTTCATTATCTGCAAAATGTTTCGGATATACTATCCAAATAAATTAATAAAATATAAGCCCACACAAAAGAGAAACTACATACACCTATAATATATTAGAAGTAAAACGAAAAATATTATTCATAAATTAATTTTATCTATTAACTAAACAACGATCAACATTAACAGAAACGAAAGAAAGCAAACCTTGGTTTTCGGTTTTAGAATCCATAACTTTATATAGTTCACTCTAGTTTCAACAAGCAGTGACACGACTACCTTTCTCAAACTGACAGGTATGAATACCAACAACTCTCATTTCTCAATGTAGATCATTTCGTCTGTTCGTCGTACCTGCTTCCACTGAGACAAGAGCAATAGTTTAATTTTCAAGGAACTCTTTTTTTGGGGGGGGGGAAGGGGCAAACTTTATTTGCATTTTTCTTAAATAATTAATCAGTGCTTATTCATGATACAAAATTCTTTTTACAGCTGCTCAAGTAAATTAAAATCTTCTCGTAATGATGCGTTTCATTTTCTTCTTTTGCTATAACTTAAAATTTTAGATATGATTTTATTAACTGTTACTTGATCAGTTTTTTTCAGTTTAGATATAAACAAATTTTAATAAAAAAATTAAAATACTTAATATAATATTTTAAAAACACATCTCTTTTAAAGTAATTTCTGTGTTAAAGAAGTAATCCAGTTACTCAACTTATCCCATAATCGGTTCTTGTGTTTACTATTTGAAGATTGAAAGCAGTGCATATGATTGTAGTGAATAAATAAAAAGTTACGTTATAACATTTTTAACCGACATTTGCTTTATTTCTAAATAGAGAAGACTTCTCATTCGAAATCTTTTTTTTTTTTCTTAAAATGCCTTTACCTGCGGCTTTATTAGCACGGCTTCAAAAACGGGGTATCCTTAAAGCAGCTCCTGAACCAGGTATATATGTTTGAACAGAGTTTCATAATTGGTTAATAATTTTTATTAATGTAAATGAAAAATTTTTGCAAATTTTGTTTTTTAACTTAGTAATACTAATCTATATGCATGCCTATATTACATTATTATCCCTATATTACATTATTAATGTAAATGAAAAATTTTTGCAAACTTTGTTTTTTAACTTAGTAATACTAATCTATATGAATGCCTATATTACATTATTATAACTAAGTGGTAAATATCGGGGCTAAACACTGCTCATCATAATGTCGCCAAATCCCGTGTGTACCTTATACTAGGATTAAACCCATGGTAAATGTCCATGTTCTTAATTTATATGTAGTGTAGCATTATTTTTGAAGATCATTGTAGAATATACACTTTTGTCTCTTAACATTTTCCATTTTTCATCGCAGAACACTGAAAATATAAAAAGTGTACTGCATTTGGCAAATGCACGAGATAAAGGCTAATATTACAGATAAAGGCGAGAAGTTGTGGCAAAATGCCATATTTTGCCGAATATCATGGATAAATGCAGTTACGATCATTGCACATTCTTGACGTTTCACTTCGTAATTTTTTTTTTCAAGTTTCTGCCAGAAATACATATCATGTTATTTATTACTGTCGTTTAATAGAGATCATATATAGGATAAAGGGATAAAAGTCTTTTTAGCTCTAGTGTAGAATTGGGTACCCCTTCAATTAGCGACAATTTTTTTCAAATTTCGGCGATGAAACCTCACTTCTGGTTACCATGATAGTTTTAACTTTGTTTTAGCTTCCTGATTTTATTTAAATGAAAATAGATTGATGTGTACATGGACAAATTTAAGCCAGTGCGCAATGTCTAGTTTGTGCGATTCTAGGATGTTTTTTTTAAGTGAAAACAGATCGATGTGTACATGGACACAGAGTTTGTGTATTTCTTTGACTTCTTATTTTGATTTTGTATAGCGGCCATCTTGAATTGTGCCTTCCTGGTGCCGATCTTGGCATCAAAAAAGAATCGCCAAAAAACAAGGGGCACCCAATTGTAAACTTTTACCGTCTTTTTTCCTGTTTTGAGATGAATTGTTGGCTAGTTGATTGATTAATGCCAATTCTTGAGGGGTGGACTATGGATGGTGAAGACTGGATTCATTAAAAATATCTTCTCTCTGTTTTAACAAATATTCTCTATTTGTAAAAAGCTAATATAAAGTGTAATTAAGAAATTTAATTGCAAAAATAAAAAATAAAAATAAATAAAAATTAGTTCTCTCTGTTTTAGTTGTATGTCCCGTCTTGTGCATTATGTCATTATGCCTGAGACATGGCCTTTGCTGATAAGGGAAATGTGTTATATTCGGAAAGAATTTGAAACAGACATCTGTACAACAGAGGGATTGTTTTGCAAAGTCTGAGAAAAGTCAATTTGTGCTGAAAGCATTATTTTGCAGCAAAGCGGCTTACATATGACAATGCACAGATATGCATTGCAAGGGCTGTCATGCTGATAAAGCAATTCTACGTCTACCAGTGTTTGTAGTAGCAACTTCATGCATGATTTGTCTCAGCCAACATTCCATTTTTCAAACTAGATAAGTGAACATATTTTTAGAAACTTGCATGAAATGAGAAATCGGTACTATTCCGTTTTGAGAACTGTAAAAAAATTGCAGCAAAAATGCATGCGCAAAAGCGCCCATTTAAGAATGCACCAAATCTAGCCTACACGCTGATTTCGAAATGAGTAAGTTTAGATAGTTCTATATTTCTTAAGACGCCATTGAAATACTAGTTTAATTTTAAAATCCTTTTTTGATATCCTGTGTTTCTAACAATTTAGGAATTGCCCATGATGAAAAGTCTGCAAAAGAATTTTTTCAAAGAAAAGGCATCTCTCATTATAGAAAATTATGTCTGAACAACCAATGAGATGAAATTATGCTTTAGCGATAACTTGGTAGTGAAATAGTGATGCAGGAATCCATTCAGTTATGTTTGCCTTTTTTTATATAGATTATGAATAGTTATTTACTATTAAATTCATCAGTTTTTTTTATATAAATATATGATATAAAGTATTATATGAAATTAACCTTTTATCTAAATAAACAATAAATCTTAGTTATTTACTATCTACTTCCTTCTCTCTTAGGGTTGCCACAATTATTTTTGGCAGCACTGGCATCAACAATAGTTTGGCGATTTTTACAGTCCTCAAAACGGAATAGTACCGAGAAATCCTGTGCAAATCTACCTTAAGAAGATCATATTTGGATGCTGCATGCATTAATGCAGTTGAGATTATTCAAAGTGCAGTTGCAGATAACAGTATTTTCATTTCCATTTATGAAAGAACTCATGGTGTGGGCTGGTTCATATGGGAATCGTGGACATTAGGAAACCATCGAATGTTTTTCACCTAACAGCCAATGGTGAAAAATGTTAGTGAAAAGTCTTTAATCTGGAATGATCTATAATAAGGACCTCAAAGCTACAAACTTTCTGCGCATGCATAAACGCACAATGCATTTATGCATGCGCAAATGCATTTAAGTATATGCATTTACGTATGTGCATAATACCTTTACTCATACACATATACGTTTACGCATGCACGTTTAATGTATAACGGATGGTATAAGCTAAGCTAAAAATTATCTAATTATCTATTTCAGTTAATGTTGCAGATGCATTGTACCTTATTTTTAATGGATCCGACTTATTATTTTTTGCAGACTGTTAAAGAATTTTATAAAAGTAAACTTGGACTTTCGATTACGTCAAAAAGAATTTCCGATTCTAGAGCTGCCAAAGGATCTACAAAGCGAAAGCCTGTTTCGATGTGCATCAAACAAAAAGTGGAATTGCTGCATAAAATAGATAAAGGCATATCCTTTGTTTCTCTAACCATTCCGAAATTTGTTTATCAATTTCATGCTGCTCTGCCGGGGAGAGGGGGGAAACGTCGCGGCGTGCAATGAACTGGAAGTTGATCTGTCAGCCACTATCCTGATCTTCAGAGCAGATGTTTTTTATTTTATTCAGGCTTATAATTCCGGACTTATTACATGTAGTATTTCATCTCTATGTACTCCGTCTTTGATATGATTTAAATCAAATTCCTCGTCATTATAAATATCACGAATACACATCAAATATTTTTCTAGTTGCAATTTTTTAATTTCGACTATGTGTAATCTATGCTTTACGCATGCGCACGTTGAAAGAAATGTTTATTAAAGTAAACAAATAAATATTAAGCTTTTTTTTAAAAATTTTGATACCCTTTAGATCATAATTGCTCTCTATTTCATAAATTACGTTTCATATTTTTAATTTTATAATTTCTGCACGCCATCTTACCAGATTTAAAGTGATGATCTATAATCCGGAAAAACTGATAATCTGGAATCGCTGACTCGGAATCGAATAAGTCCCGATGAGTCCGGATTAAAGACTTTTGACTGTATTTTAAAATGATATTTTAAAAATCAACTTTTCCAATTTTGATCAGTGTTCTAAATTTACTTTGACCTAATGAAATTTAGTATGGCAACATACTTAATTATCTTTGCAACTGATGCAGGCACATATATGAAAAAGGTGGATAAGGAACTTAATCTTGTGTCCCAGAATGTTGTGTTTAGCATGCTTGGCACATGTCCTGTACAGGATTGCAAAAAAAAGTTTGTGAATTGTTCCCAGGCATTGACAAGATTATTTCAGATCTAAATTATTTGGAAAAAAAAAAAAAGAGTTATATGCTTTTATTTGAAAGTTATAAAATAACTAATGAATTAAAAGTTGAAAAATAATTTATGATACAGTTTCATGAGAGCAATATATTAAACGATTGTCTTTACAACTGAGTAATTAGTGCTATTTATGGTGCATGTTATGGATTAATGCATTTAATGATAATTTTTTTATGAATTAATGATTTAATAACACTATCCATTTTTCCCTAATATTTTTTTTTTATCCCTTTTATTTATTTTATCATTTGTTTCATTTTTTGGGGGAGGGATAGTTTTGGCTGTAATGAATGTGGAAAGGAAAGTTATAATAATAAAGTTTATTCATGAAAATTAACCTATTCAGAATGTGTAATTTTGTGTTTGTTGAAAAATTTTTCCCTTCCCAGAAAATAAAGGTTTTGGAATTGGTATTTACATTATATTCACCATCATGGGAAAAAATCATAATCAGTTTATTAAAACAACCCTTGATCATGTAATAATTATCTATCAGTAAGATTTTGTATGCATTGCAAGATGTGCAAATAACTAGGAATTTTTCTATAAATATAAACACTGATAACGTATTCATTGCTGATGATGTGCTGGTGTATAGTGTGATTAAATCAACTAATAGCCAGTTATGTGCTAGTGTGTAATATATATGTTAAATTATTGTTTTCATATTAATTAGCTTCTTTTAAAGTTTTGGATATTTACTATGACAGTGAATATGTTAATAAGGTAATAAATTTCTGTATAGAATAATATTTTAAATCTTAATATATGTTAAATAAACTGAATTAAATATAAAATTTGAGATTTAATTTATAACTGAGTATCTCAAAGAATGCTTTTGTACATTCTTTTAGAAGTATTTCTTTGAAGAAAATAGTATATTTTAATCAAAGTAGAAATAGTTTATTATTTTATTATCAAGCATTTAGTAGTATAAAGTTTATATATATTGACTCGAATCAGTTCAAACTTCTTAAATTTGCTAATGTAATGTGGAGGAAGGGAAAAGAAGAAGGTAATTAAAGTTTTTTCATTTGGATGTGATATTGCTCCTTTTGTACTAATTACATTAATTTTAGAAGTTAATTTGTTTATGAAGCTAATTGCCTTGAAAACAGAAACTGTATGTGTAATGTTAAATGCATCTTATTAAGTTTTAACTTCTAATTCTTTTTCATTTTTTCATTGATGATTTTTCCTTGTAGAAATTGAAGAAGAAGTTATTGCAGAAGATTATGATGATAATGAAAAGACAGCTGATAGTTATCAAAATGGTGTTGAGTCTGATGAAGCAGTTGAGTTGAAAGAACCTTGGATGGGATGCCCAAATAAATGGAACATTTATCATGAGTGTTCAAAGTTTTGCAAAGAAAACTGGGGCTCAGGTAAGGAGCAACCTTCTCCAAAAACTGAACGGAAGCGGTTGCTGATGCTAAAGAAATATCCTTTACCTGATGGCTGGGAGGAAGTGTACGATCCAGGAATGTAAGGAAGTTGTTTTTGTATATTTAAGAGCATAATGTACTATATTCTTAAATTCAGTGTTTTTTTAGAAGACCATAAACAAAAATAAATTAATTCTATGTAGCTAGTTGTAATATGTATCTTTACATTTTGAATCAAATGTAAAATTTATAAGTTTATGAGGTACTTTTTAGCTATCTGATATCTGCTGATACATCAATGATTCCACCAATGATTTTGATTCATGCAGGCTTTCAGCAAAACTGGAAGTATTCTTGATCCATATAAAAATATGAGATTTTTATTCCTTTTCTTGTTAGCATTTTCTCTCACTGATGGTGGTAGTCAATTTCGCAGTGAACTCTTTCGAGAACAAGCCAAGAACTTTGGTATTCGCCTTTCTCACACCACCGTGTATCACCCACAAGCCAATATTATTATTGAAAGGTGGCACAGATCCCTCAAACAATCCATAATATGTCGCACATCCGTACACTGGACTATCGCATTGCCTTCAGTTCTTTTGGGACTTCGGACTGCTTTCAAGGAGGAAATTAACTGCTCTCCAGCCGAACTGGTGTATAGCCAAACTTTGCATCTTTCGGGACAATTCTTTATTCCTCCTGACAGCAACATTCCAAGGCGTGACTTCCTAAAAAAGTTGAATGATAATCTAGAACATCTTCGTCCAACTGCTACTACTAATCACTCTAAAAAACAGATCTTTGTGTATAAACATTTAGATAAATGTTCTCATGTTTTTCTATGTGTAGATACGGTAAAACCCTCTTTGCATACACCTTACACGGGTCCGTACAAAGTACTTCGACGTGGTGATAAAACTTTTACCATATCTAAACAAGGGCATGATATCACTGTGTCTATCGACAAAGTAAAACCTGCTTATTTAGTCCCAGATGATGTATCTGAACCTCCTAGGTTAACTGATGTGGATAAGGCCTCATCGCAGCAACCAACCTATCCAGTAAACGAACAGCCACCTTAAAAAAGTGCTCCTACGAAAGCAAATTATCAAACTTGTTCCGGACGTCGTGTCCACTTCCCCAAACGATTTGTAGAAGACTAATTGTTTCCCTTTCTTTTTCAGATTTTTAGCGGATTTTCTTTTTCCGGGTAGGGAGATGGTGTGGGGCTACCTCCCCCCCCCATTTTCTTCGGCACTTCGAGTTCTCCTCTTCGCGCATGCACGATAAGAATATCATCTCTGCGCGACTGCAAAAGAGAACTTTTCACCTTCTGTTTTTTACTAGTTCATGTATGTGTTTTACTCATCGCTGAGATTCCTGTTATTTATTGCCATGTATGTATTTTGATCAATTAAAGAATTTATTTTGCTAAATTGGGTGTCTAGCCATTAATCAGACCCCAAAAGTGTATGTTGTATGTTCTGACTAATGATTGAAGGTGAATTACGTGGATAAAGACAGTGCCTGTGTGATTAAAGATGTCAACTTGCATAGACTATAAAGATATCATACTCCCTTTTTAATACCTCTTGGAGATTTAACTTCATACTGTAATAGTTATTAAGACTTAATGATTATGCTTTCTTTTCTAATGATATTTTTTTTAGAAATAGTTATTTTATCAATCACGTCCAATAGTTTAGAAGGTGTGAGATTTTATTTTCATATTTGGAAATATGTTCATTATTAAAATGAAATTTATTACTTACAGTGGCAGACACTATTATTGGAACACAAAAACAGATGAAGTGGCCTGGCTGTCTCCCAATCACCCAAGGTGCAAAATATCTCTACCAGCAGAAAAATTAAGAGGTAAGCAATCTGTAAAAATTAAAGCTTTATTTTCTAATTAATTCTTCTGTAGAATTAATATAATATCAAATTTATTGAATATATTTGCACGTATAACAGAGAGACCATTTGACATTAAGTTATGCTAAACAATCAGTTTTTTTTAAAATTTTTATTAGAGATTGATTGTTGCATCATAATTAATATTCCCCCCCTTTTGTAGACCATGTTATGCCACAAGAATTGGCTGCAGAAGAGTTGATTATCTTGATAGTAAAAAGTAACTGCTGTCATCTTGACAGTTTTAGATTTATTTTTGTATGCTGTGTTTTTATTTCTGGGCTCAAGTTTCATGACTTTATCTTACTTAACTCAATATATATATTGGTACATGCTCATGAGTTTCATAATGGATTGAATGCACGCAAAACCAATGATAACTTCGTGAAGTTTATTTTTCCAGAAACACTTTACATTTCTGGAACTTTTCACTCAAAAGTACTTGTACAGTTACATAGGGATTGAACCAGTTGTAGTTACACAGAGAACAGACCAAATTTTCACCAAGCCTGGGGACTTTTGGTGATTTATAGCCAATTTGTATGAAAAAATTAGTCATTAAAACTATTACCAGCTTGGCATTATCTCCCTAGTTTTGTGAGACAGCAATTTACCTCATTATTAAGTGGGCCTGCACTTGTAATTTTATTTTTCTGGCAGAGCCACACTCTCTTGAGGCATTTCATGTTACATTATGATAGAGGTACTGCAATTTACATGTAATTTCACTAAAATTATTTACATATATGCAAAATTCATAGCAATATATGTATACACATACACATCTCTTCAAAACTTCTTTCAGTTATAAAAATGAGGGAAATTCATTAAATATAAAATACTCTATTGACTCTGTTACGTAAAATAATCAAAAATGTTGAAAACAATCTTCTGTAAAATGTTGCATAAATAAGTACTCTTGCATCTCTTTTCTGTATCCGGAACTGATTTTTCACTTGAAAGTGATTACCTTGAAAATGCCTGCTTGTTTCATCATATGGTCAATGACAAAAGTGAGTATATGGTATAGGAAAATACTGTTTCAGTCATAATTCTTGTGTCATTCAATGGGTAAACAAACACTGCTTGTCAGAGAGATGTTATGAATGAAGGACTTGTGTAATTTTTATGTGATTGGTTTTTACCTAAATAAGCCACACTAAAGATTAAAATTTTTCTGAGATTTTATTAAAATGAAAATTTTGTCCTAATGAATCATGGAAAAGATAAAATGTCTTCGGATTCATTTTCATCTAGAGCAGTGTTTCTTAACCTTTTTGGCAAAATGAACCACTTTAAAAATTTTAAATATGTCACGGACCCCTCTGTGAAAAAAAATTGCTTAAACATAATTTATTACAAAACATATGCTGTTTTATTATTTAATTATTTTAATATTTTTATTTCAATAGTATAAAAAATTTGAAGAAATTAATAAAATTTTTAATGTGAAGCCTGTTGCTGCTTATCCTTGATTAACAGATTGAATTGAGGGATGATTTTTGACAAAGCAACGCGCATATCATGTTCGACATTCAGTCTATTTTGATGTTTTATTTTTATTGTGACAAGTGTGGAAAATTTCGCTTCGCAAAGATATGCTGTAGCAAACGGAATAATGGCTGCCATAGCTCGTTTTACAAGCAATGGGTAGGCTTCTCTTAAAGAAGACCAAAACTCTCCAAGAGTTTTTGAATTGAAATCCATTTTTAACAAGGACTTTGTTTTCAAATCAATTAGCTCATCTTTGGCAAGGTTCTTGTCATCGATAAAGTCAATATCACAAAGAAAAGGATTACAAATCCACAACTCGTCTTTTATATTTATTCCATCCGAATTGGAATATTTCTCAAATGAAACTTGAAGTACTTCCAGGTGTTCACTGATTTCATTTTTCAAGTTATTCAATAACAAACTATCTTTCCAAGATCCATTTTCAAAAAGCACTTCGTCCAACATTTGAAAGTTTGCATATATCCCATTTTGAATTCTCCAAAGTGACATTTTCCAATTTTCCAAAGTGACATTTTCAATAAAAATGCCTGTAGTTTCTCAGTGACATCCATAATTGTTGTATCAGGCTCTTGAATTGAAAGACATATATCGTTCACGTGATTAAAATGTCTGCCAGGTAAGCCAATTTACATATAAAATCTTTTTTCTTGAAATATTCGAAGAGTGAGTTATCTTTTTCTTCTGAAAAAAGTGATCCTTCTGTCTTCAACATGAAAATTCGTTTCAAAACCTGCCCCCGTGACAGCCAGCGCACTTCCGTGTGGTACAGAAGTACCTCATGTTCTGCGTTCATTTCGTGACACAGTGTTTTAAAAAGATGGTGATTAAGAGCTCTACTTTTTACCAAATGGGGAAAACCAGATTTATTGCCAAGCATCGCAGGTGCTCCATCCGTACAAAGTGAATGAAGTTTTTGTTTCCAGTCAAAGTCATGTTTGGAAAAAAAAAACATTTAAAATCTCTAAAGCATCAACTGCCTTTGTAGTTTGCAAAAGAGGCTCACAAAATAAGAATTCTTCTTTGATAGTATCAGCAGACACGTAACGAACAAAAACAAGAAGTTGACTACAATTCAAGATGTCTGTAGTTTCATCCAGTTGCATACTAAAGGGAAATGGCGATGCTTTCAATTCATCGATGATCTGTTTCAAGATATTGCAAGAAATTTCAACTATTCTTGAATGTATCACATTTTGGACAATGGAATAGCCTCAAGTGTTTTTCTCTGTTCCAGTCCGCAAACTAATTCAACCATTTCCAGCGCACATGGCTTAATTAATGTCTCTCCAATAGTATGTGGTTTCTTACTTTTGGCAATACGATATGCAACTCTGAAAGATGCCTCAACCAAAGATTTTTGTGAAATACCAAACCAAGCTCGGTTAACATTCCAGATTCGAAAACTGGGTTTTCTTCTTTGCAAAAAATTCTAGGTCTTTAGATGCATTTTTAGGATGCAGAGATTTGAGATGCTCTATCAATTTTGCCGGTTTCATACTGGCATTTGCCAAAACTTTTCCACACAGAAAGCATTGTGGCTTTTCAACACTGTCCGATTCCTTCATGCAGCAGAATCCATATTTTATATAATTTTCACCATACTTCCTTTTTTTTGGACATTTTGGGCTACAAAAAATATCAAATAATCAAATTAAGAACAAACATTAAGACACAAAAAGCACTTGAAAAAAATACTTTAATTACAACTTATGAAAAAGTAAAACAAATATTTTGTTTTAAAAATTTGCAAGAACTTTGTGGAACTGATTTTAACGTCACTTTATTTCCAAGTGAAGTAAAATTCAAAGGCTACTTTGTGTTTCTAAAATTTTCAAATTTTATATGGTTTCCAAATGTTTTTTTCCTCGTATTGTGGATGTCTCTATTATTGGGAAATGACAGACAGACGGCTTACAGAGGTTGCCAGTGACAAAAAAAGTTTTTTTTAAAATATTGATGCAAACATTTTAAAAATTAGAAGCAGTCGGCGGACCCCCAAAATATGACCCATGGACCCCCAAGGGGTCCATGAACCACAGGTTAAGAAACACTGATCTAGAGGAAAAAATTAGTCTGAAGGAGAAAAAATATTCGAGAAAATTGAAGATATTGTTCGGCAGAAGCTTGAGAATATATGATAGTTATTCTGAAATCAACCAAAAATAAACAAGAGTGATAAGCTTCTTTTTTATTATGTTGTTCCCCAAAAAGTAATTATACAAATGCACTTACAAAGAATAAATAGAAATAGAAAGCAGCTGAAAGGAATTTGATATTATATTATATTTTTAGATATATATATTTTCCACGTGATATCATCAATTCAGTATTTTTCTTACTCTAAAATGTTTATTTCTTTGTGATATTTATAATGTGTAACATATTTGATTTTCATATTAACTGTAGATTGCATGGCTATCATTCTTTCATAACTTTTGGCCTGTTAGAGGCTGAGTGGTAAAGTCGCTGAAAACAGGTGGTTTGATCTGGGGCTCTAATCTTAGCAAATGGGCTAGCTGCATGGGTGTTTTCAATGTTTTTCCCATGTGTAATGTGTATATGATTTAGTTTCTCATAGAAAATCTTCCACAAAAGCGTCCCTCCCCTTAGGCCCTCTAGTGCTTTGCCACAATTAAATAAAACAAGTTAAAACAAACTTTTGTAACTTTTCTTTTCAATCTAAATTGATAGCTATTTATAATTTTCCTTCATGTGGGGGGAAAAAAACAGTAATTTCTTCATGATAGCCTTTGTTCTCTTTTGTAGGCCAAAAGGGGCTATTAGTCTTGAAATGAGATTTTGCATTGGTTCAGTATAAATGGCATACCATTTATCAAATTGTTGCCACCAAATATTACTGCTCTGTACAATTTTCAAAGAAATTAAATAATGAAAAATTTGCAAATATATATATATATATATGCAAATTTTTCATTTCATTATTAGCATATTTAAAAAAGGGGTGGAAAGAGAAATTCAGCATGAAAATTGACAAAAATCAAGACATGTATTTAATATTTTTATTTAATTTGCACTTCAGCATGTTTAACCCCCAAACAAATATGAAGAAATAAATTTATTAACAAATTAAATAAAAATATTAAATACATGTCCTGATTTTTGTCAATTTTCATGCTGAATTTCTCTTCTCACCCCTTTTTTAAATATGCTAATATGTAGCTAACGTATTGTATTGTAGGTTACTATACCCTCGATTGCATTCATGATCGAAGAAATGCCCTTTAAAATCAGTCTGTGGGGACAAAAGTCGATAGATGACTGGGAGATGAAAGGCCTCACTGAAAAGGCATACCACTCCATTCGCTTATCTTCAGTGTGCAGGAGCTTGCTTTGTTTGCATTTATCTCCTCCGAATTCTCCTTTGTATGTATTCTTACGTATGTACGCAAAGAAATTGATATTTAATAAAGAAAGTTAACACTAAAAAAGCTGACAAGAAAAAATTATTAGCCATCTTACTAAGAAAACTAAATATTGACATGATAAACTGAGAAAAGACAGAAAAAATATTAAAATGTATGGCAACACATAACACTGCATCGGAAATGCTAAACATATGCTGCTATGCTTAAAAAAAGATTAAATTAAAATAAAAATTCTGATTTTTGTTATTGAATTGTATGTTGTTTAAGTACAAAGAAAAGAAAACAAAAAAGGGTTAGCAGGAGTGCAACAGTAGATTGGGAGCTCATCTAGAGTGAAAGAAAACCTTAACAAACCATTTTGGTGGACCATTAAAATCTAAAATTTTCTTATTTTTATATAAAAGTTTATTTATCGTGATATTGAATTCTGTTTCATTTTTGCTCTTGTAGCTTTACTCAAGGAAAACTTTTTAGAACCTATGGATGAAGGTGAAGATCAAGAACAAAGTGTAAGACTTTTACATTCTTTTCACATTTTTGTATTTATAAAATAAACATTTTAAAAATGAACTTACTTTGATATAAATCTGTATGTTATTCGCTGTCAGTATTATGCAAGGTGCATAATTATTGTAATTTCAGAAAGCATTTGTTATGAGTTCTTTAACTTTAAATAATCTTTTTTATAATTAAAAATCATTTTGTTTCTTGCATCTTGTCTTCTGTGTGGAATAATAATGGTAAGTGGTTAGTGATGCTGGCTGCTGTATCATTTTAGCTTATTTCAGTACTTGAAAAAGAGATTGAGTTTGTTTTTGGACATCATGTGGTACTTGATAAGCTGAAAGTCCTGTCAAGTCGCTTGATGGTGGGGCAAATGGGTAGGAGACCCGTGAATCTGCCCTTTTTGGTGCTGTGTATCAAAATTGGGACAGAGCTGCAGAGTTTATGGGGTGGCACTACATCTGTATGACCAATGGTCAAATTCTCATATCCCAGTCACTTCTACCTGTATAAAATACATTGTTTAATAGGGGAATTAAGATATATTCATTTTATCCCTATCATCAGTTATTTGTAATTTAATTTTGAACACTCAAAATTCAATATAAAGAAAAGGTAAAATCCTTTGGTTCCGTATCAGAGTTAAAATCTTTAAGTATTTTGGTATTAATTCAAATTACTCTGTTCTATTTCATCGTAAGAGTAACAGTTCTTTTGGCAAGTGGAAATATCTGGTTATAACAAAAGTTTTCCACCAAAAAACATTTTTAATAAAGTTTGGAAAAAAAAAAAAAAAAAAAAAAAAGCTTGAAGGCTGTACTTTACATGCAGATAGTAATCACCCAATGATTTTCTGCCAATGTTTTGGTAGTTTTTCAGACCCTTTAGCCCAGAAACTTGGTGACAGTGAGTCCAAAAACAGATCAACCTCATTTCAGACATCTTGTGCAGAATAGAAGATAACACCAGCAAGATGTAGCTGCCAGTGTGAAAAAAGGAGTAATGTCAGGGAGGAGTCCGAAGGAGTAATGTCAGGGCTGTATTAGGAGTGTGGCAAAAGATCCCATTCAAGTCCGTACAGAGTCCAGCCGATGAATTAAGACTCATGTGGTCTTACATTATCTTGATGGAACAATACTTTTGTGCACCAGAACTCAGTTCGACATTTTTCCTTGATAGCAGCATCAAACATACAGTAGCATCTCTCTGTACACCTTGCTGTCAATTGTTTTACCTTTTTCCAGATATTCTTTGTTGGTAATAAATACTACGGCAATCCCACCAGATACAAATCATGTTTTTTTTGTTAGTGAAACTACATTTTGCAACGCTGCCAATGGACTCACCATGTGCAGACCAACCCACTTTCGGCCTGTGTTGTTGAAGTAAATCCACTTTTCATCACATGTGACCATCCAGTCCAGAATTTTGCCCTTGCATTGATATTCAAGCAGATTAGTGCAAGCCCGAACAAGTCTGCCCTTATCTGCTTGAGTCAGCTCATGCAGCACCCAGCTATTGAAATTATACATTAATACAGTTAGTACATTAATAGTCATGCTATGCATCACACAAGTCTGTATGATGCATAGCATCACTAATGGACATAGCAGTAATGTTGAATTCCGTAGCAGACTCTTAAGTGGTTGTGTACTGATCTTCTTCCATAAGTTCTTGCTGGCGGGCCCCATCAACATCAGTAGGCTGGACAGAGTGCTCTGCTTCTTGAATGTCATGTCCTTGTTTTTGAACTTCTGGTACTAACCTTCACAATGTCATATGATACTACATTAGTGCCTAAAGTTGTACCCAATGATTTTGGGACATTCCATAGCTCACCTTTTACAACGGAACTGGAAATAAATGATGGTTTAATCTGGTAGCATAATAGCACCATTTTAGATACCATGTACTTAATGATTTTTTTTTTACAAAACGCAAACTGTTTGCGTTGTCGTTTTTTGTGGTGGCAGTAAACTTTTGTTAAAACCCAATATATCCTTTTTTAATTTACAAATTTAATATTCCTGAGAATCATTCAGCTTTGTCATGGGAGATTTTTTTTTTTTTCTTAATTTTCTGGAAGGTAAAGTTTTGGCTATGTTCTAACAGTTATTTTACTCTTCAAATAATTTTTTAAAAACTGCTTTTCTATAAATTTAGGTGTTTTTGCTTAGATTAAAACTAAAAGTTTGATAAATTTTGGTAAACCATTAAAAATAAATTTTTCTTTATTATTATAAGATTTTTCGACTTCATTTTTGAGAAAAGTGTCTATAATAGTTCATTTTCTGTTTTCTCTTAAACTGAAGAAATGGACTTTTTCAAGATAATAATGAACTGTGGAGAAAGGCCTATTATTGACAAAATAAGATAATTTACCATTTCAGCATCCTGTATAAGGTTATCTTCTTTCTTGAATTAAAACTAAATAATTAATCAACTGACTAATGAAATGAAAACTGATTGGCTATTTAATCAACTAATTAGCATAAAAAAAAATCAGCTCTTAAATCACAAATATGCTGACCATTGTGTAGATTTGTCTTATCACATATTGATGTTTTCTGATTTAGTTACTTAACCCTATGCATATTCTTTGATAGAAGATGCAGTAGATCTTAATTTTTCTTATTCTATTTTATTTTTTATTTGTTCAATAATAGGATTGGAAATTAATAAAATAAATTAGAGATATGCATAAACTATTCAATTTTCTGAATACATTTCATGTTTTCTGTAGTTAAGTATTACATATTTCATATTTTTTTATGGCTGAATATAGTGTCATTTTTGCAGCAGCATTTTGAGCAAGCAAAACATTTGGTAATCTGAAAAGTGAAATTATAAATAGCATACACTTTTTTTAGTATGAAGTAAATTATGTTGACACATTGTCACCAGGAGGTATTAATCATTGTTTTACATTTGCTAAACATTGAGTCAGCATTTTTCTTTCTCAAATGTAGAACATAGTGAATCAATGTTATTCACTTTCTGACACAAAGTAACAAATAACATCTTTATATATTAAAAAAAAACTGTTGTTGTTTAAGTAGTAATCATTACATATAATTTATTTTGTGTTTGTAACACAAAGGCTTTATAGCTGCTCAATTCAGTTTTAAGCAGTTAATCAAAAATGCAGCAGAATATAACTCAGAATTGTTTGCAGATTTGTTATTAGATGTAACAGGTGTTAATGAAATTGCTAATAAAGATGATAATGTGCTGTTAGTAACAAAACTAAAAATGGTTATTGGTGTCACTGATTATCGTATTAACAAATTTTTAATTAAAGTTTTCATTTAATAGAATGTTTGCATTTCTCTGGATAGGTGCATTTTTATTTCATATATATATATGTTACGGTGAAACACCGAAATCTGGAGAACGTCGACTTTCACCGGTGAATGTCAACATTCACATAGTCGCTTAGTGTATGTCCGAAATATTTTCCAAATACTCTTCTTTCTGACTTACACCGGTGAATGTCGACATTCACCATGTACTAATGGTGAATGTTGAACATATAAGAATATTATATTTCCTTCTCCGTAATTCATTTGCGAAAAAACGCACTTGAGACTCAGAATAAGAACTTAAACACACAGTACATTCAAAATGAGAAAGGAAAATAATAGAAGTTATAAACTTACCAAATTATGTGATTCAAATCTTATTTATTGCAACAACTTAAACTATTATGACACTTTGAATTGCACAAGAGGCCCTTGCTTTTACAACTGCATCTATTTGTGGAACACTTCCTTTTGGAATGGCAGCATGTACATATACTCCTCTCTTTTCGACCTACACCAGAGCATATCTGTGATTGTCAACATACACCGGTAAGGGTCCGAATGTACAAGGATGTAAAGAAATATTCGATCTTTCACCAACGTATTTGGTGAATGTTGACATTCTCCGGTGAAAGTCGACATTCTCCAATTTTGGTCTTTCACGGTAACATGTATATATGTATATATAATTGAAAGTGTTATGGAATGCAGGCTTAGATTGTTTTCCAGAGTACTGTCAACATTGTGTTAATAAACATCACCTAATATTACTGTTAATTTTGTGAAATCTTCATTAATGCTACTTTTCTTAACAAATAAAAAAAAAAAAAAAAAAAAAAAAAAAAAGTTATGAGAAGGCATGTAGAAAAATGTAAGGGAAATATTTCTGTGATGTATACTGATAGGCATCTTTCAAACCAAGAATTGATAAGTAGGAATCTGTGCACATTATTTTACCATACTTTTAATTGGACCTTTTGAATACTTATATATAAACCAGACAGATGCATAACTGTTTGAAATAAATAGAGTTGTGTTTCTTGTAATATTTTGAGTGATATATTTTTAATTCTGATCACAATTTTACATGAATAGATATAGGCGATTTATTTTGCTTTAAATGACAAATAAAAGTAGAAACTCACAAAATGCAAGCAATTAAATCTTGTGAATTTAATGTTTCTCTTTCCAAGATTTTATTTCTTAATTTTTTTGAATTACATGGTATGTATTGTACAAGTATTTTCATTTAATTGGTACAGGAATCGGAGGAAGATTCTGAAGACGAGGAAAATGAACATGCTAATGAAGAAAGAAATGAAAAGCATTACAGAAAGGAACAGATTCAAGAGAGATTACGAGGTTTGTAATTCCTTATGAGCATTAAAATTGAGCAAAACATGAGATTAAACAATCAATTACACAATAAAATACTAATAATAAATTAATAATATTTCCTTTGTATTAATATATGACTAATTAGTAATAACAAAGCATGCTGGAAACATGTAACTGAATATACTGTTTCAAATGTATTTTCTTTATTGTAGCATTTTATTAAAACAACAGTTTTATTCTTGCTTTCAGTATATTTAATAGTATTGTTTTTGAATATCATAAAATTTATAAATATATATTTATGAAACTAGTTATAAATACAGGCACTTGTGTATTATTCTATTGGCCACTGAAACTGTAGCCAAGCAATATGAATTAGTGCTAGTTATTGATAAGTGAGGTGTTACAATACGCTTATAAGATCTGTTCCTTTGTTTGATGTAATCATAATTGATTTTGTTAACTAGCTTTGTTTTTATGAAAGAGGATGTAAACTAACTTTTGTTGGTGTATTTTTTCTTGTATTTTGAAGAAAATGAGTTCAAGAATCACATTTGTGACTGCACTCCAGTTCTTTTACAGCTGGTCCAGAAAATAAACTTTTATTGAATGGGAAAAAGCACAGCTGGATATGGCCAAAAAAAAAACAGCAGTAGACTTGAACGATCACCTGTGGGAAGTTGTGCTCTCAGCATTTTAAATAGAGTTTCCAGTAAAATCAAAGTGCCTAACAAAATGTTAGAAATTGATAAAAGCCTTTTTATGATGGGCAAAAATAAAGTGGGTCAAATATTTTTGTATTCTTATTTGGTGGATTGTGCTGGTAGACTGATTAATGTTTTATTATGCGAGTTGTGGATAGATGTGTTGCTCAGAATTTCGCAGGAATGATTGACATAAATTTGGTCAGGTTTCCTTCAACTTTGATGGTTTGATGGTAGCTAACTTTCATGATTGATGGGATAATATATAAGTACCTATATATATGTGTGTGTATAATATAAACTACCTGCCACTTATTAAACTCAGCTGCTTATTACATTGATTTTCTGGAACCCTTTTTATATGTATAAATGGTACGAGTTTACTGGTGTAGTTCTGCTAAACGTGAAGGTGTGACCATTATATGAGAAGAGATTCTCCAGCTAAAGAAACCCCAACACATTAAGTTTTGTGTTCTATAAGCTGTATTAGGTGATGGTGTGATATTCAGAAATGGCTAGAATTGTGCATAAAAGTATTGTTTACTCTCAAATCTTTATGTCATTTATTAAATTCTTTTCCACCTCTTGTAAAACTCAGATTAGCAAAAGATATTCTTCAGTTTCAGCATTTCCTACTTGTACATATCAAAGCTTTTCATAATTCATCCATTTAAGGTATTATGGACCATAACTTTATCTTTCTGGTATGTAGTGCTTAATAAAATAGTTTTGACCAAAACTTTTCTATCCCCCGTTCTTGTACCTATGAGATACCTTTCAGAGTTCATTGTTCGCACTGGACTTCAGAGGGGCAGAATTTCCTTATCTAAAAATTAGCAAAAGCAATCCTCTAAAGCAGCGGTTCTCAACCTTTTAACTAACACGTACCATCTAAACAAAAACTGAAAACCTTTAGCACCACCACCACTCTTGAACAAAGCTCAGATCACATAAATTTACCAGTGTTAGATAAAGCCTTCAATCAGGATGTTGGGGTTTTAATTTTTAAATTTAATAGTTAAAAATACTTTGCTTCTTTGCATACCACCTATTTTTCTCTTGCGTACCATCGGTTGATGCTAAAGCTTTGCTTTGCTCTAAAGGCATTGTAAATTTGTGAAACATCTGTATCCCATCTTTTAAGGTTTCCGCATTCAGAATCTTCTCTGCGGGATAGGCATACTATGTTCACGAAGGGTTATAATAAAAGTTCATGAAGTGCTTCTTATAAAATAAATATTACCATATATTATCAAGCTTTGAATGGAAAGGAAGTAATGGTAGGCTGAAACAAAACTAAGAAAGATCATACTTTTAATCATGGAGATCAACTAAACAGATTGCCATTTGTCTGTTTAGTTGAAGTTTTGAAATCTGTATAAATAATTTTGAAATCTGAATAAATCACCAAAAGAAACATTTAAAAATTTTTTTATGTTCTTAGTAGCTGCAGCCAGAGAAAAAGTATATATAAACTAGGAATTATCAAAACAGTATTGTGTAATTTACTTAAACAGGGAATTATAACTAATGAATGGCTAATTAAAAATGCAAATGTGTCAAGGAAGTACAACAATGATAGAAAATTGAGAGACGTTCAAGTTCGTTTTCTGGAACAGCTTTCAAGCTGTAAAACTAAAATGTGCCTGTCTTGATTTTTAGACTATTTTTCTCTAATTTGCTAAATGCTAAGAGAGAATTTTCTATCATCAGACAGATAACTGAGAGGTTGGAGAAAGATAAATCCAACATGTTTCAGTAAGAACTAGGTGGTCAGAAAGAAGAAACAGATCATCATGCAGATGTTGACTGGATAAAGAAACTTGAGCCACTGAATGATTACAAGCCATACGAAATTTATAATGCAAATGAACTTGAGCTGCATTACTATATACAGTATCTTTTCCCTCCTAATCCTGCACCTTTGTGCCGTAAGAAGCACCTCTGCCTAGCAGTCGAGAAGTCCAGTTTTTGAATCCCAGTAAGGACACTGCACATTTCTTAGATTTTCTTCAAATTACTCAACAAATAGAACTTAAACTAAAAGGTGGTGGATGGATAATTCATCACCACCAAGATCTGGTGATTGGGTCTTCTCTCAAGTCACTCTTTAAGAGGGGAAGTATGTAAGGTATTTTCTCCTTCCCTGCCACGTGCATTCATGGAGTGATTAGAAGTACTTCAGGCTAGCAATCGAGAATTTTTGTTTCCATATCTTGGCGAGGGCATTGCACAGTTTTCATGTCTGAAATAAATAACAACCTGAAATAAAAACTTACAACAGAACATTACCAGACTACACATTATAATGATAAGTGAATAGTTATAAGTGAAGCAACAATTGGTTTAAGAAACTGGAGAAGTAAGTTACTGTGTCATCAATGGTATGAACTCTGCTATTAAAATGATAGCACTGTTTATTGACAAAAGCAGGAAACCTCAATGTTTGAAAGTAGTCAAGAATTTACCTCTAACTTACCATAGTAATAAGAAATCATGGATGACAAGTAGTATTTTTATTGACTTTCTTTTGATATGAGACAAAAAAAAAAAAAAAAAAAAAGATAACTTCACTAATTAAATAACTGTTTAGAATATCCACCTCATCTCTTCCTGAAAAACATTAGTGCCTGTTCCTGCAAATACAACTTCTGTCATCCAGTCTTTAGATCAGGATATTATAAAAGTTTTAAAATGTCATTATAAAAAAGATATACGGAAAAGAATGTGCGAAACTGAATTTTGTGAGAATACAAATGAAGAGGAGATTAGTAAGTTGATATCTCTACTAGAGGCATATTATAATCAGTGTGAGAGATTAATCTCTTAAAATTAATTAAAATCTGCTTTTCAGAAATGTGTCTCAGAGAAATTGAAAACTAAGGCTAATGTTTCCCTAATCAGTAAAGGAAGTAACAAAGATTCATTTTTGGAATATATGTCGACATTGAAATAGTATTGAAGCATTATGTATAAAAAAGTGCTGTGAAAGTTTTAAAAGAATTGCAGAAATTGAATTGCAGTGAAAGTGCTACAGAAAAAAGTGATGACGTATCAACATCAATTGAATCAACAATCAACATCAGTAAACATAAATCAAAAGTGCTGCTAATTTTAAGAAAAAATCTTGAGTTGAAACGTTCCGGACAATAATTGGAAAATGTTGTTGAACAAAATGAAAGAAACAGAGACAGGATTGTTGTTTGTAAGAAAGGAAATTTCATTAAGAATGTAATTATAAAAATATTTGTATTAAAAACTAAGAAAGAATTTCAAAATTGGATAAATAGTTTAATTTTAGCATTAATTTATAGTTATTGTTTTAGGAATTATCATTGAATTAATTATTATTTTACTTGAAAAGTTTAAAACTGATGTTATGATTATCTATATACAAATTGCTGTCTATTAAGCTCGGCTGCTTAACAAACTGAAATATATTTGGAATGGAAGTAGTTGTTGTTTCTCAGTTCCACACCAATTTTGAAGGAAAGCATCCTAGCGGATGGGTCCAAGGGTCTCCCACCTCTCTTCCGCTATTACCAACCTCTCAAGAGGACTTTCAACTGAATGCATATTATGTATGCATATTATATAGTGCTTCCATTCGCCACAGATGGTATACTTTGCAAACATAAATGCTTTCTCCGAGATTTGAACCCAGGTTGTTCGTTAAAGCTGTTAGAGTCACTGACCATTAACCCGGTTTGGGTGGCTGGAATGGAAGTGAGTTTAACAAGTGGTGGTTTTTAATAAGCTCTAATAAGCTCAGAACTTATGTAAAAAGTACCTATTTTAAACCTAGTGATTGCATAATCAAATAGTATAATGATCTATCTAATGAATTGTATATGAGACTGTATTTGTGAACTCTCATTAACATAAGCATATTTGAAATTCACAAAATAATCAAACAAAAAACCTGCCTTCAGTTTTTAATACATCATATGCATTTTTATCAATATCAGGATTGCAGAAATGCTTATCAATCACATCAGTGTCCCCTTTTTTTGTCTGGTAAAATTACTGATATATATCTATATTTGCTTGTTCTCCTGTTATTGGTAATAAGGGTCTTTCTGAAACTGTATGAAATAAACAAATGAACAATTAGCAAACTTCAAACTTTCTAGTTGCTCACATTTTTGTAATGTGTTTTAATGTTAAATGCTTTGTGACATTTACCAGTGTAAATTTTGTGCTGTAATAAATAACCTAGTATTATCTAATATGCAAATTATATTAGACAAATTCTTATATCTGAAATTAAAATAAACAAAATGAAATTTTTCAAAATGTTTTTAAAAATAGTATATGTTTGTGTCTTGTGATTTTATTCAATTTTACTAGAAGGAAATTTTATTTTAAAAACGTCTATTTGAATATTTCAGGTAGACCAAAAGTAAGAGAGAATGATTTAGATCCAATGGATCCTGCAGCATATTCTGAGGCACCAAGGTAAATGAACAAAAAACTAAAATCAGTGTTCTTTCTTTTTTATCTTCTGCATGTATCCTATTTATGGTAATGTATTGAACTGTTATATATAAATGATTCTAATGTATAGGATATAATGATGCAATTTTCTGTTAAATACTTGGAAATTTAATAAACTTAACATTATACAAAAGGAATAGTAATGCCTTTTTTCTAATCATTTTATTTAATTTCTTATCACTTGTAATATAATGTAATTACAGTTTTTATTTTGAGAGAGTATATATTCCTGTATATAGATTTTCATATGCCATTATAGTATTCAGATCTTTGAACTGGCACATAGTGAATTTCATATTTTAATTAATTTTTATCTTTCCGTCTTTCGTTCATGCATTACTTTTAATTGTTATGCTACCTAAACAATTAAAAATAATGCATGAATGTTATTATTTTTAAATTGTTGTCATGTGATATTTATAAACTTTACATAAAAGTATTTGATTAAGTATAAATTTGATGATTTGTATATGAATCATTCTACATACCAATCTATAAGTTGATCCCTCCCCAACTTTTGAGAAAAATTTTTGGAAAGACAGACTTGCCGCATGAGCAGTGCTGTTGCTGATAAAACAGCTTGCTGATATTCTTGATAAAATTTCACTTATGATTTATTTCCATTTTATCACATGATAAAATTTAAAAGTATATACAAAATTTTTGAAGAATTCTATTTGAATCCCTCAAATTCCGATTCAGAGTCAAAATCACCAAATAAATCCTAAACTTCTTTTTTAGTCATTGGCGAGTAGTTATAAATTTTTTCACTCAGTTCATCATAGCTAGTGTCATTATCATCACATGGATAGATTGCATCATCTTCAGTGCCATACAAGTTAAAGGAAATGCTACACTTTTTCAATGATTTGATTATCATTTCAGCTGAATCATGTCTCAAGCATCTTTCAGCCACCATGCAATTAAAGTTATATCTGGTTCTCTAATATTGCCACTTTTGGTTTTAGTAGGCAAATTGAATTGTATCCATTCTGCCCAATACTTCGGCATATTCACCTTGAACAGCTTGTTTATGTTGACATCCAGTGGTTGTAAAATGGATGTCAGCCATTCTGGGGTCACAGAAAGTGTTGTTTTTGTTTGCTAAACAGGTAAGAACTACTTTGAAATGAGTTTTCTCATGACCAGTAGTTTTACATGAACTTTTCACTCTTTTTATTATTAGTGAAAATTTAAGATCAGATATCATTGTAACGCTGCAGCTTGTCTTGGCTTCATTTCTTTAGTCCTTTGCCTGCACAGACATTGTATCATTTGCATCACTTTTGCATGTCAGCCTTTGCTTTACTTCAGTAGAAGTGCTGTCGAACTCTGTGCAAAATCTTCATCATAGTGGCCTCTTGTTGGACTGCTGTATAGCTGTTTAAGGATGTGTGGATCTGGAATCTTGTAAGCATCAGCTGCCATCAGAATGCCTTTTCATCATCTGATTCGAACATCCACTACAAGAAGTCATTCTGAATATGGAATGAGTCCTAGAGAGACCAATATTATTTTGTTATAGGATTATAGATAGAAATGTCCTGCCAGGTAGGTTTCTTATTTGAACTCTGTGCAAAATCTTCATCATAGTGGCCTCTTGTTGGACTGCTGTATAGCTGTTTAAGGGTGTGTGGATCTGGAATCTTGTAAGCATCAACTGCCATCAGAATGCCTTTTCATCATCTAATTCGAACATCCACTACAAGAAGTCATTCTGAATATGGAATGAGTCCTAGAGAGACCAATATTATTTTGTTATAGGATTATAGCTAGAAATGTCCTGCCAGGTAGGTTTCTTATTTGAAGAGTCCATTAAGCCAGTTTCAGGCTTAATGGACTTTTCGCTGTCTGCCAACTGGTCTTTCCTGACTTCGTGAGATGATGTTGAAGTTGTTACTCGATGTGTGATGGAATTATCTAGCTCCTGTTTCACTTCAACCCTAGACAAAATCGGAAACATTCTGGACAGGTTCTTCTAGACAGGGCATTGCCACTTCCATGTGATGTTAATTTTTGATGATGGATAGTAATGTCATATTCATGGAGTCTCTGTATCCGATTATTTGGCCTTTGGCATTCTTGAAATTTAAGAGCCAGCTCAACAATGCATGATCTCTTCAAAGCAGGAAATTTCTGCCATAGATGTAATGGTGCAAATGTACCACTTTAAATATAGCAAACAACTCTTTCCTGATGACGCAGTAATTCCTCTTCAGTTTAGGTAGAAGATATGCTTGGATATGTTCTTGACCATTTACTTCTTGGGACAAAACTGCACTGTCACTCGTATTGCTCACATCCATTTCAAGAATAAATGGTTTGTTGAACTGAGTTAGGATTCTCACATATGTTAAAAGTCCTTCATTTTGTAAACTGCATCTTCACATTCTTCTGTCCACAAGAATTTTGTTTGCTTTCTGTCAGTTTGTGAAGAGGCCTTGCAATGGAAGGAAAGTCCTTCACAAAACTTCTAAAATAGGTGCAAAGCCGCAGGAAACTTCGCAGCTGATGGACATTTTTTTGGGTGCCTCCAAAGTCTTTGATGGCCAACATTTTTTTCTGAATCTGTGCACAGACCTTCGGCAGAGATAACATGTTCGAGGTCATTTCTGTCTGAACAGTTTACATTTGGCAGGACTTCACCTTGGATTGGCAGCTTCCTTCAATTACTGAAACACATTTTTAATATTTTCTAAATGCTCTTTATAACTTTTTCTGATGATGATGAATTTATGCAAGTACATCAGACAGGCTTCATAGGAAAGACCTCTCAGCCTGGCCTCCATTAGGCTATCGAATGTTGCTGGAGTGTTACATAGTTCAAATTGCGTCACCTTGAAATCCCAGAATCCTTGTCCTGTGGTAAATGCTGTTTTTTCTTAGTCATAAAGGTGTATCTCTACCTGCTAATATTCACTCTTTACATTAATAATGACTTGCTTCCAGAAAGTGTCCGGAATGTTGTCAGTTCTAAGAAGATGGAAGCTATCTTCCTTTGTGATGTCATTTGATCAGCGATACTCAAATCAAAATCTATTGAACCATTTTTCTTTTTGACCAGGATGATAGGAGAGGCCCAAGGTCTTTCTGAATGCTCAATAACATTACTTTTTTGCATGTCTTCTAGAAGTTTTCTTGCTTCTTCCTGTTTAGCAATCTATAGACATCTTGGATGTTGCTTGATTGGTGGTTGATCCCCCGTATCAATTCTTAGTTGTACTAAACTGATTCGATCTATGTCAGAAGATGTGCAGGAGAAAACTTCGTGAATGGTACGTTTTGCAGCTTTTTTTCTTCATCGCTTAGTTGTGTATTCTAATCACTTCAGTGTTTAGACTGTCTGAAGACACAGAGGATAAAGTATCACTGTTTCATTTAATGCAGGTCACTGGAGTACATGCTGCAACCACTTCACCTTTTCTAATAACTTAGCACTTAAGCTGACAGCTCTCACTGGGATGACAGTCCTCTGTAGGTCGATGAGTGCTGAGACTTTAAACTGCTAATACGTATTTTTGGCTGTTACAGTTCTTAGGATATTCTATAGTGCTGTACTGGAAATTTCTGTTTTGGGCTATGGATTCTGGTGATAAAAATTCTTTTTTTGGTGGTACTGTGGTATCATCTTGAGCTATTTTTTGCTTGATGGATTTGACTCTTTTATCTTTGATTCCAGATAGATATAGATGTTGTCAGAGGCAGAATGCAATTCATTATTTTTTAAGTTCAAGGAAAAATTGCATTTCCTTCGAATATAAGGTCTGTAATATTTTCCACCTGTGCCTTGTGATGTTTGGCAACACTTACAAGTATAATGTTTAACTTTCCATCGATGTCAAATTTATCACCGGACAAAGTGTGGAGGGTAATGCAGGGTGGTGTCCAGATGAGGCAAATGGCAAAATATCTGGCTCAATGATTAAAATTTGATTGTTACTATTAAATAAATTAATTTCTTATTTAAATGCAGCCCACTTCTCTTAACAGAAAATTTCTTGCTGCTGATCTTATATAAATTGCATAGTTTCATATAGGAGCATTTGACAGCATGGCATGTTGCAAGAACTCCTTTTCTAATCTTCAAGCAAAATAATTTATTTTGAACTCTATTTGTTGTCAGACCATTTTTCAGTTAATGTTAAACATCACCTTTTCTTAATGTGATATGTATTATGATTATTTCCAAACACCTGTTTGCAAAAAGCCGGTGAGATGTCTGATCATTCTCCACAGATATTTAGCTGTTTTTGAAGTATTTGAAGTCCTTAATTTATGTAATGCTGATATTATAATATAAAAAAAATATGTTGACTTATCTCAGTGATTTTGGTAACTAGCTTTTATAAAGTGCTGTTCGGTCAATATTTTGGAATTTAATGGGAATGCTTTCTTTGATTTCTTTTATCATGGCTCCATGAAACTGCTTCTAGGTGTAATATATGAACACTGCAATCAATAACAAACAGCTGGGTTGGCAGAATTGGAAAAAATTCATGTATATGCTCAAAATGCAAGATGATTGAATTTTATTCTCTCTCTCTTTTTTTTTTAATTTCATAAGAAAAAATGAAAATATTTCTTACTACTTGATATTAATGATGATTTCATTAAATTTTCATTTTAATCCAGATTACAGCCAAAAACATTGCGGACAAAATATTCATGAAGAAAACATCGCGGACAGAAACGTTGTGGAGAAAACAGTGCAAGACAAAAATGTGGTGGTACAAAACATCATGGAAGGAAACATTGAAAGGAGAAAATATCACAGTTCTAAAACATCTTGGTATAAAATATCACGATCGAGAATAAAGCGGTTAAAAAATTTCCCAGTTTAAAAACATCGCGTCGAAAATATCTCAGCAAAAATAAAGTACCTCATATCATCTCATGATGATAACATCGCACACATTTGTTTAAATCCCATACTGACATAACTGACTTTCATCATAACTAACAAATCAACATCCAAAAAATTGATTGCATGATATACATGAAAATATTAATGACACTTTAAGAATAAACAGAAACAAAACAAATATAATTTTCACTGAAACAATATCAGATTAACAAATGTAAAAGTAAATAATTTGATCATTAACTAAGCAATTTTTATAGAGGTAACCTCATGCAATTATTTATCTTCCTTTTCCTAAGTATTTTTAGAATATGTCTTTCATAAAATTTATCAGTAAAACTTTAAAAAACACAGTCAATTTATTAATGACTTTTTTAATTAACTATGTAAATTTAAAATGCAATCTTTATACGAATATGCATTTACAACTTTTAAAATCTGAAAAAGTATGTGTGCGATATTATCGTCATGCAATGATTTGTAGAGACTTTATTTTTTACCATGATAGTTTCAACAGCGATGTTTTTAAATTGTGAAGTTTTTGAACTGCTTTATTTTCTACCACGATGTTTTAGAACTGTGTTGTTTTCTCTTTGCTTTCTTTTCTCCCATGATGTTTTGAACCATGAAGGTTTCATTTGTTTTCTCCGCAATTTTTTTGGCGGACACCTTAATTCAGCACTTTATAATGTCACTTTCCATGAGGTATAATATCACTTTCCATGAGGAATGTTCGTGATAATGTTAATTTTAAATATGTTAAATTTTCATTTCTGTGTCTTTCAAGGATCTATTCAAAAAAAGATGTATAATCAAACTTCAATTTAAGATTGTGATGTGTATATTTTATCTCTAGAATTGTAATGCTACTGCTATTATGCAAATTTAATTTTATCATCCTGGTTTAATTTTTTAAACCTCTCTGTATTTTTATACTAGTTTAATTTCTTTAAACTATGGACTGTGCATTATATTGTATGATGTTTAACATTAAAAATATAAGGTCTACCAGAAAATTACATCCATTTGGAAAGTGAAAGAAAATAATATACATTTTTTATGCCATAATAACATTTCTTGTACAATATAATTTTTATCGCTACTTATTAACCTCATACCGCCTTGATGATAATTTATTGACACAATTTTTGAAAAATGTCTTGTCCTTATAGGCAAAGAACTGAAGTAGTATTTCTCTGACATCTGCTTCAGTTTTAAATTTTTTCCTTTTCAAAACATTTTACTAGGAGAGAAATAAGGGATAATTGAAGAGAGCTAGGTCTGAGTATAGTGGATGCAATAAAATTTTCTATTCTAGCTCTGCGATTTTTTGATGAGTCAAAGCAGCATGTTATGATTTGCTTCCTATCGAACATGGCTGGTCTCTTTTTTGTGTGTACTTTGTGTTAATCACCCATCTATCTGAATTCAGCTTCAGCTTTTTTATTTAGGTATCAAAAACACATAATGTGTTGGTCTTTGGACATCCCATTATATACACAACATTCTGTTATTCAGGCTCAAACTCAGTTTAGAGGTGGAGCAGACATTTTATATAGACTCATAATATGTTCTTTTCCCAACAATGCTTTTGTAAGTCATCTCTCGGTCTAGAAATGGTTTATTTTTGTTCTGAGCAAACAGAGATGTGCATATGATGACTGGATCGTGCAAATTTTTCTCTCTTAACTCGTGAGACAGCCATCTAGAATATTTATAGACCAGTTTTAGTTTCGGAATATGGTCTAAAATGTTTTTTCGAGCTTAATTAAGCTTTTCTACAGCTCCAGTGTTGTCAAAAAAAGGTCTTGCTCTATCATGGTCTCAACAATATCATCATTAATAAAAAATGATCACCACTTAGAGCATGGCTTAAGGTCAAAATCACCAGCTTCAAATTTTTTAGCCATCTCCTGCATGATCTGAAAAAAAAAAACTACATCTTCACCAAAAAATGTCATTAAATTCTGACACACATCTGCAGCATTTCTCACTGCTGGAATTCTTTTGGTAGCCATGTTTACACGATTGTGTCTCATCATAATGACATGAGATACTTTTTGTGTCAGTTAATTTAGAAGAGCAGATGCTTATAAATGCAGTGATAATGAGAGACATCCATTACATGTCTCAAATGAATGCATGCATGTTGAAACTTGAAGTAGCAGTATTGGATAGAATGTTCCAATAGACTTTATAATTAGAATGACCATACCTTTATCTTAGTTGCTCATCTTGAACAAATCAAGCGTTTTTCCAGGAATATTTAAACATAGATGAAGATTTTCATTTTGCCTTAAAAAAATCAAGTATGTGCCATTTAATTCGTAACCTTTAAATCCTCCAACTGGCCAAGGGTTTCACTAAAAAACCCAAAACTTCTCAAAACTGCCAATGAAAAAGAGGTTGTTTCCTGATTTTATTGCCAAAATGCTTCTGATACTTCATACTTTCATAAAGGTATCACAAAAAGTATTCTAGACCACTTAGTATTTGGTCTAACTGTTCAGAGGGTTAAACAAAGCACGAAGAGAATAAAAGGCAAATGACAGTGCAGATAAAGCACAGTTTCCAATGACACAGAAGTAAAACATATCCTATTAGTAAACATGTTTGGGTTTATTCTGTTCTCTAAGTAACTCCTGTTACAGCTGCCAGCTGAGTTCTGACTCATCTCACATCCATCTTTTTCCTTTCTCATGTCCCAATATACAACTTCAAAATGCTATTGAAAGAAAGAAATGATTATAAGAGGAATTCTTTGAGCTGAAAAAATGAAACATTATTAAATAATTTGGGGACAACATAATAACTAAAATATATGACTAAAACATATAACTAAAATTTTGTATCACATAAATAAAACATTTTACAGTCAGCATGAATAGTAATAAATTGGGACAGAAATGAAGACATATAAATGTAAGAGACATGAATATAAGAGCTTTTCTATATTTAATGCAGATTTTTTGTTGGTTTGTTATATTTTTGTGTTGTATTGCATCATTTTTATTTCTCTATCTTAAAATATGGGCTAAAATTATCTGATTTTTTCCTCCCATTAGAGGTACATGGTCTTCTGGCTTGGATCGTAAAGGTGAGGCCAAGACTGGAGCTGATACTACTGCTTCAGGTCCATTATATCAGATGAGGCCATATCCTAGTCCTGGTGCTGTTCTGCGTTTAAATGCAGAAATAAAAAACAAAGAATCATCTGACACAGAAGAAGCTGAATAATTTTATTGTATATCTTATTGTAAATAAACTGATTTGTTAAATATACTTTTTTTTTAGAAATTTTAATTAAATTTGTACATAATACATCTATTAATGTGTGAAGTTACTAAGAAAGAAAAGGACAAATTTTTATTGATGATATGCTAATTGTAACAGACAAGGTATGCCCAAATGTTATGCGTCAAATTCCCCCATTTTTTTGCTGTACGTTACAGATGCTCTATAAAAGATCCTCTTGTCATGCAGCACACATGTAATGTATAATGCATTTCAGTCCTCGTATATTGATGTAATTAATGTGATGGCATTGATAAAATAAATTTTAAGTTTATTAAGGTTGGATGGCAATGTCAGCACAAAAACTGCATTTTGAAATACCTAAAAAAAGAAGAAAAAAAGAGTAGGCAAATTTGGAGACCAGCTGAAAAATGTATTGTCATTTACTCCTTTGTGACTTATTCAATATGTTGATGGTTGTTCATTCAGCTGCTCATAAGCATCTGAACAAACACCCAATGGGATGTTGTCCATACGCTCATTCAGATGGTTATGGATCTTCTGAATGTCAACATAGCACAGACATATCCTGCTGGAATATATAGTTATTGGAATCCTGGTCCAACTGGAGAAGCTACCAAACATGAAGAAGCTATTCAAGTGAGTCATTCCAGTAACTGTAAGCTCGAGAAGATATAAAGGTCATGCACATTTATCTTCAAAATTACACAAGAAAGCCTGGGTAAAAGATGCATTTGCATTACATATTCATGTGTATTTATGTGATCTGTATACTTTTTTATGAGAATTCGTAATTCCATTTATATGAAAAGTACCATCAACAAACACTATCTATGCAGCCAAGGCATTGTCAAGAAATTCTGCTTGAATAGCAGTACTGAAATTAAATTTGTGTTTCTTGTTAGCATTATATAAAACCTGAAGCAATTGTAATTTGAATGGTTTGAATCCTAATTTCTTTCTTAAAACACATCAAACAGTTTTCTTAAAACATACTCAGCTCAAGGTCATGCAAATTCTTAGGGGCTGCGTAGCTATGTAAGTAAATATGCTATTTTCTCTAAGTAAGTGTTGGGACTGTGTGCACTCTTCTCTATATAGAGGCATGCGGTACTTTAACATTGTTAGTAAACTTCTTTGATTTGTAGGAGGCCGCATCTCAAAGCCGCATCTTTGGAGAAAATTGTGTAGAACCATGTTTAAGGTATCTTTATGTACTGCACGTTACAAAGGGCATTTTCTTCATAGCTCACCATTTGAAAAAAAACAAAAAAACATGTGCATTGTTGGTTATTTGTTCATTAAATGTATGCCAATGCAATTAATGTAAAATATAAGGAATTCAGTTTTATGTGTTACAGATAAATAAGTACTGTTCGCTTTGCCGTAGCCATTGCTAACAGAATAATTCTTTTTGATATATCCTGTATATAGAATTGTGTATTACTTATCTGAATTCTTTTGAATAAATTATCAAATCTGCAAGAAAAAGTATTCTTCTGACTGCAGTATTTTAAACTACTGTTATCATCATCTACTGTTAAATATATCGTATTAAACTACTATCATCATCTCTCAAATTCCCACTGTCAATTCCCATTAAAATAGCTAAATGGGTAATTAATATTGCTTGATGCTAATTTATAATCACACACAGTATGTGAAAATATTAATTTTACTAAATTATAAATTTTAAAAAAGTTTTGAATGTAAAGCAAATGATGTAGCCCTTTTTTAATAATAATTATAAATTATGTAATATTTCATAGAGTATACTGCATACTCTTGATTTTAAATTGCTTATCATTAATTTAAAACTTTTTATGTATTTAAAGCTGTAATTGTATAATTTTTTCGAAATATGTGTTTTTTGAGCACAATTGTAAAATCCATTATTAGTTTTGATTTAAATTTATTGTTTTTCATTCTGAGGCTTGAAGAGTTCAGTATCATCCTTTTCAAAATGATAAGCAAATTGTATTTAGAAGGAACTTAGATAGCCTATAACAAACATGCACAAATCTAAAAAAAATTATTCGATAATACTTCATTAATGAGTTTTAGATGAGATTTTACTATATACTCTGAGAATTGGACATTAATCTGTTATTATTATCTCAACATTATCCATAGTCTTTTTTAACCAAACCTTTATACACTATTACCAATTATGTGTGTAAAATTTATGTATAAAGCACTAAGGCAATTTAAATGGATAAAACATTCAACTTTATATTTCTAAGTTAAAGTCACGTTTCTGATTTTCGCTAATTTTTGAAAAATTATGTTTATTGATTAAAGGGATCAAATATATTAATTCATTGAATATTTTGCACATTGCTTATCATATAAATATTGAGAGTAAAAACTGTGTGTACTTGCAATGTAAGAATTTTTTTATTATTGTTGAAGAACATAATTTAATTTTATATTTAATATGTTTGTTTATAGTATTAATGATTCTTCAAATAATTTAAACTATTTGCTGAAATTCCAGTTAAAATCTTTCACTTAAAGTGTGTTTGGATTTTTTGAACCCTTTAAAATTTAAGTCATTTCTTCAATAACTAATTGGAAATCATGAATTTGACTTATTTTGGCTTCAGGCAGTATTAATGTATAGAAACTTTATGAAATTATTGATACATTTTGAACAAATAATGTCCTGTATATAGGATGGTGAACATTAACATGGAATATTTTGCTGATAATAGATGCATGCTCAGTATTTTAAAGAAATGTGAAGAAATAAGATATTGAAGACAAAACATAAACAAATGACTTTTATTATACTCATTTTATCAAAATTTCTGAATAATTTTGTTACTGATAATTAAATATCAAATGCAATAAAAATAGTAAAGTATTTATAATTCCAGGTAAAATTCTGTAAAACATTTGATAACTGAAGTGATATATTTTTGTCCTTATACTGCTGACTAAGTTATGAGTACTCTACAAATATTAATTTCGTAAGCAGATAAATATGATTGGGAGGACATCCATTATTGAAAATTTTCTTAATTCTATCTATCGGCTATGGGGGGGGGGTATAAAATTCATGAACTTGGTGATTCTGAAGGCCCTGGAAAACGTCACTTATTGGCCGGCCCCAGGGTCTGGCACATCCTGAGCAGTACGGCTCTAGTAGCCGGTTCGCTGGGTAATGTCCCACTGCGATGGGCAGCCCGAACAAATGGCAGGTAGCAATTCAAACGACTAGCGCCACCTGTCAGGTGGCACTGGTCGTTTGATAGCATTTTTAATGCCTTGCCTGCATGCAAAGTACTTTCTGACGACGTGGAAACATTCTGCTGCGATTCTAATACCCAAACATGGTAAAGACTATTTTTGCATAAAAAATTACAGGTCGATCAACCTTCTTCCGTCGTTTGGAGAAATCTTGGAGCGAATATCTATAAACATTTGTATCCAGTATTGAATTCACTATACAATCAGCAATCTTTCGAAAAGCCATGTCGATTATCATACAACTGGTTAAGATAATTGAATTGATCAATGTTGTGATTTACAAGCTGCAGCTACCACGTTTCTTATAGTAAACGTGGCAAAGGCTTTTGACCGCGTCTGGGTTTAATATATAAAGTATCACGCGTACTGGGTTTAATCTATAAAGTAACGACTCTCAACCTCGCCAGAGAGACCATTCTCATTATCATTTCGTTCCGATAGAAAATTTAAGCAGCTACACATGGAAAGCACGTTTTACGCAATCAATTGAAACTGTAGTACGTTTTGCGTTTACATCAGTAATAAAATTCTTGTCAACAACTGCTTTAGTTGCATTACGTTAACTGTGCGCTTTCCTGTGATATTAAGCCACCAGGGATCAAGTGGTTAAATCGCTAGTAGTTGGACCCTGCTTCAGATTTCGGCGACGAGTTAGCTGCATGGAACTTTTCGTAGTTTTCTGCATGTGTACCATGAATAAGAGTTGTTTTCCCTAGAAAGTTCTGAAAGGAGGCATTCTATCCCTTGGACAGTTAGCTCTTATGTGCTTTAACATAATTTAAGTAATAAATAGCAATAAACTCAAGATGTTAATTCATTCTGTTTAAGCTGGTTATAGTCCTGAAAGTTTGTAAGGATCTTATGTCAATTAATCTTTTATAATGATTTAAACCTTTACTATAATTTCTTCTTTCCGTAGTCCTCACCAGAATGCAAATTACTTGAGTGTTTAAGTTAATGAGTGTATTGTTGCGTGCGTACGGGTTCGTTTGGAATTGAATGCACAAGTCCGATGAAAAAATGAATAAGATTTATTATCACAAATAAATAAAAGACAATACTTCAGTTTTCTCAGATATTCGTGCAATATTACAATATCTCACAGTAGTAATCTTTTAACTACTCAAACGTTCAAGAGAACTTAATTCAAAACAGCTAAAGAAAGCTAATCCGCGAATTCGCTACATTCAACAAGAGCAGTTTTCTAAACAAACTCTTAAAACAACAACAAGCTGACTAAAATAACTGACTAACTGAATTGAGAGGTTTTCCTCCTTTTTATAAGATTTTAAAATCGCGTGCGAGAATTTTCTAGTACTTTCTCGAAATCAAAAAGAGATATTTATTAAATGTTACATGCACGCGCTCTTGTATTTTCAATTTTCCGGCTTAGCTTTCTTTTAATATTCGTCACGCGCTGCACTGCGCGAGAAATAAAACCATTTAATTTATAATTGAACTAACATTAGCTTTTTAAATACCAAATTCGTAACACTGCCCCGTTCCCAAGGACTGCACGTCCCGGGGCAGTACAATCCCTGGACAGGAAGCCAAACTTACAACTGTGGCATAAATGCAATAATAAGGATTACATTACAATAATAAACAACATGAACAATAAATGCAATAAATAAAACAAATCAAATACTAAATACACATTTAGAAACAAAAAGGACCATGGTCTTACACTGTTTACAATTATAGTGATGAGCTAATCTGTCGTAATGAACGACTTTAGACTTGGAGTTCGAAGACTTACGAATCCGAACCACGAC